TCTCTCTCTCTCTCTCTCTCTCTCTCTCTCTCTCTCTCTCTCTCTCTCTCTGACACATTCACCTGTACATTAGATAGAGACTTTTGTTGTTGAGTATTGGACTCTTTTTCTTTTTTGAGTATTGGACTCATCACAGATTTCCAGCGGGTGGGCACTGAGGTGTGTCCTTGACTAAGACACGATAACTTTGCACAAAAACAGAGTGCTGAACAGTGACAACAAGGGATGGGGTGTATGAAAGATTGTCTGCATTCGTGTGATATCATGCATAAAAATGATGATGATGTAGCCTCAAAATTACCGTATTTATGCTTTGTACACGCTACTGTAACTCCTAGTTCCCCTTGGGAATGAAAAAGTGTATATTTTCTAGTTTCTTTTTTCTTTACAAACTAACATGTACGTATAGCGTACTGTAAGATATAAGAAACATGAGAGAGATGAAACGAAGGTAAATGATCGTACTCAATCAGTCGTAATGACCGTAAGTAGGCGATTCTTATTTCTTTGGCATTTGATCTGAGCAGATAAAAGTCAACTAAGGGAAGACAGAAAGGCCCCAAAAATCAATACAGAAACCACAGTAGCAACAAAATAATTATTATAAAAAGAAGAAGAAGAAGAAGAAGAATAAGAATAAGAATAAATATAACTAACATTTATACTGCGCATTTCCATTTTTTAAGAAATGCTAAATGCGCATTACATCAATACACAGCAAGTATAATTATATGCAATTCCTAAAAGAGAGATGAGTTCAAAACGGGAGTTAAAAAAAAGGAACGTATTACCTCCTAGAGCAATCTCTACATTCAAACTGTCACATTTTGCATTTGTTGGTGTTATTCAAGCAGCAATCCAGCTTTCAAACTGTAAGATACAAAAGTTTTATCGAAACACCTCACATGATCCTTACCTGTCCCATGATGTTCGCTGTTCAGCCCTCAGTCCGATCTGGCGTTCGTAACTTAACCTGCAGTCAGCAGTTCAAGTTAAAAGCAAAGTCGGCCAAAGACGAGCCTTACGCAATGCACTCTTACCCAGCATGTCGGGCTTGTAGGATCGGCTCGGGCCAAAAGTGGGTTAGACTTAACAATAATACAATATTCCTATCAAACGAAGACTTTAGAGAGATAATGGCAGTAGTCACCAGCACAAAATGTTGACAGTTGGCTTTTTATGAGGGTTGGATAGCTGGTTTCCCGGTACGATTATTTCCAATTGTGTTATCAGTGTGAGGCTATACATTTATTTTTTTTTAACATTATTTAAAATTTCAATATTGAGGGACAAAGCGCACTATAGTGGAAAAGGCCAAACAATAGACCGAGGAAGACAAGGGAGAAAACAGAAAATTGTGACTACTTTCCCTTTTCCTTGTAACTTTTAGCTTTGGTTTTAGTAGGAGTTTTACGGCAATTACAACATAATTAAAGGTCAAATAAGTGCCGAAGATTAGAGGTGTTACAAGAGATTAACAAAAACAAAAAAAGAGGAGAGAAACGGACAATAGACGTTTGATAAGAGAGAAGAAGTAGACCACACCAAAGCACCCGCCAATCACCCATCTGTAGCTATTAAGAGGAATCGCCATGAGTAGGCCTTGGGTATATAGGCTACATGATATCGCCATTCCCTCCCCAAATCCACTTGATTGATGATAATAAAGTACCACTGAACAACAACTTCATTTTACGTGTACCGTCGAACGTTTAAAGATTTAATAACGCTTATGTAGGAAGGAATAAAGATGTAAGTGCAAGAGAAGACTTCCACGGATATCACCATCATTATTATATTTCATATAGGCAACGAACATTTTTTTTCCAATGTTCATTCCAAATTTAGTAGTCTTGGGTGGAATTCACTGGAACTTCAAGACCCAGACAGAAAAATTGTGGAGCTTTATGCTGCGTTGGCAGTCCGTCTGAGAAATTTGACGAGTCTTCTCACGGATACTCAGCTGATTTTGTTGAATCGCGAGGAAGTCGCTTGAGTGCGCACCGAATGTTATCTAAACTGAGATAAAGTGACATACCTCAAGCCTCGAAGCCCCTTCTGTCAGCAGTTGACCTGCAGCAATAAGCACGCACAGATTCCCTCTAACGCAGAGTGCACAGTGAGTCCTGAGACCACACAAAAGGTGTTCAAGCGATGCCACGCTTAATAGGCGTCTCACAGTAAACCCAGTATTCATTTTTCTTGTAAAAAAGTTGTGGCCGGGCAAAGGGGGGTATTTAGGGTTTTGAGAACCAGATTAGGCATGGAACGAGAAAACAAACCGAGAACGCGAAATAGACCCATGACCAGAGTGTACTTTTTTCTGTGTTTTTTTATTTTTTAAATTTTATTTGAAAACAAAAATTAAATACTTAAAAATCTGTTTTGGATCCTGGAGGACGACGATTTGATTGTTTATTTGATAGAGAAGCACATAGACATAACAATGGTCATAATTCAGTGCTAAAAAAAGGTAAGATAGACAGACAGAATTAACAGAGGGGGGTGAAGAAGTAGGACCTACCATTGGCACCCTCCAAATACCACGGAGGACAGATGAGAAGGGAAGGGTTTTGTAAGAAACGCATAATTTTCCCAGGAACAAAATACTCCCAGGAGCCATGTCATTCCTGACGGTCTAGTCTTACCTGTGAGAAATAGACACTTTATAGTTGTAAGGTTAGGTCTGAGACTTTGACAGGCCTTGTATACGAAGAATAAGGCATAACAAAATCAATACCCCCACCC